GTCACTTCAAGATCACTTTCCTTTCCTAGCTAGCAATCATAGTCGTCACTTCAAGACCACTTTCCTTTCCTAGCTAGCAATCATAGTCGTCACTTCAAGACCACTTTCCTTTCCTAGCTAGCAATCATAGTCGTCACTTCAAGACCACTTTCCTTTCCTAGCTAGCAATCATAGTCGTCACTTCAAGACCACTTTCCTTTCCTAGCTAGCAATCATAGTCGTCACTTCAAGACCACTTTCCTTTCCTAGCTAGCAATCATAGTCTTCACTTCAAGACCACTTTCCTTTCCTAGCTAGCAATCATAGTCGTCACTTCAAGACCACTTTCCTTTCCTAGCTAGCAATCATAGTCGTCACTTCAAGACCACTTTCCTTTCCTAGCTAGCAATCATAGTCGTCACTTCAAGACCACTTTCCTTTCCTAGCTAGCAATCATAGTCGTCACTTCAAGACCACTTTCCTTTCCTAGCTAGCAATCATAGTCGTCACTTCAAGACCACTTTCCTTTCCTAGCTAGCAATCATAGTCGTCACTTCAAGACCACTTTCCTTTCCAAGCTAGCAATCATAGTCGTCACTTCAAGACCACTTTCCTTTCCTAGCTAGCAATCATAGTCGTCACTTCAAGACCACTTTCCTTTCCTAGCTAGCAATCATAGTCGTCACTTCAAGACCACTTTCCTTTCCTAGCTAGCAATCATAGTCGTCACTCCAGCACCAACTTCTTTTTTGCCAACAAACAAACATGGTCGTCACTTCAACACCACTATCCTTCCTCAACTATCAACCATGGTCGTTACTTCAAGGCCACTCTCTTCTTTGCCGTGGTCGTCACGTAAACACTGTTTTCTTTTCCTAATAAACAATCTTAGTCTTCACTTCAAAGACAGTTTCTTTTTTGCCAACAATCAACCACTTACAGTATGAGGTTAGAACTGATCGGGATTAGAATTGGACTTCAGTAACCCATGCTTGTCGTAAGAGGCGACTAACGGGATCGGCTGGTCAGGCTCGTTGACTTGGTTGACACATGGCATCGTATCCCAATTGCGTAGATCGATGCTCATGCTGTCGATCACAGGATTGTCTGGTCCAGACTCGATTATTTACAGACTGCCGCCATATAGCTGGAATATTGCTGAGTGTGGCGTTACTCAACAAACAAACAAACAAACAAACAAACAAACAAACAAACACATCACTTACATACCACTTCCTCCGCTTGGCAAAAAGCCTTGTAAACACTAATCTCAAAACCATAACGAAACATGGAATTCCGTACAAACTATTCTGCCCAAGAAAAACCAAAAACAAAAACCCGACACAAAATAAAAACATCGTTTCCTGCATTATTGATTACACAACGGGTGATACATCTTGCACAGTAGCTTTTTTGCAGAGATTAATTGAACGGGCTGATAAATCAATGTGGGTTTTAAAACATATGGTCAATAAACTGCCAAAGAATATTATCAAACGGAATATCAGATTTAATTATTAATAAACCATCACGCATGTTTCCAAAAAAGGTGTTTTTGTTACAATTGATTTTTTTGTACATTGATGTTATCGACGACATCGCCACACGTTTGATACAAACTAAAAACTCTTGTACGTTATATTATACTCGTTGTTTAGAATAGGGAAGGAATTCGACGCTGTGCGTGCTGACTAGAAGACTGACTGACTGACTGAGTTTGGTTTTACGCCGCTTTTAGCAATATTCCAGCAACATCACGGCGGGGGACACCAGAAATGGGTTTCACACCTTGTACCCATGTGGGGATTCGAACCCGGGTCTTCGGCGTGACGAGCCAACGCTTTAACCATTAGGCTACCCAACCGCCCCTCTGACTAGAAGAAGAACACCAGAGAACGGTGTCGTCGGCACGCTCGTTCGGCACGCCGAAAACCCGGGTTCGATTCCCTGGTGGGTTCAATGTGGTGACACATTTCTGGTGTCTCCCGCCGCGATATTGCTGGAATATTGCTGGAATATTGCTAAAAGCGGCGTCAAACAATACTGATTCACTCAACATTGCATGACAGCATACTTCGTCGTTCAGAGTTGAATTCACTAACTAACTTATGTGAACGTTGAAATGGGCTTCCAACTTTGTAACTTCTGTGGACACCTTCCCCTTCCCCCATGTACCAACCCATCACATCCCACTTCCAAAGAAGTAATAATTTGTTTTTGTTTCAGATTCAGGGTGGGTGGGTGAGTGAGTGAGTGAGTGAGTGAGTGAGTGAGTGAGTGAGTGTGTGTGTGTGGTTGTGTGTGTGAGTGAGTGAGTGAGTGTGTGGTGAGTGAGTGTGTGTGTGGTGTGTGAGTGAGTGAGTGAGTGTGTGTGGTTGTGGTGTGGTGAGTGAGTGAGGAGTGTTGTGAGTGAGTGAGTGAGTGAGTGAGTGGGTGAGTGAGTGAGTGAGTGAGTGAGTGTGTGAGTGTGTGTGGTTGTGTGTGTGAGTGAGTGAGTGAGTGAGTGTGTGGGTGGGTGAGTGAGTGAGTGAGTGAGTGAGTGAGTGAGTAAGTGGTGTCCCATTGTGAAACGTACAATCCACATGAAATAGAAGGTATAGTGTTTACTGTTACAAGTTCACACGCAAAAACTGTAAAGTATTCTTCGTGATAGTTAAAAAACCTGAAATGTATTCTTGTATGCTAACGTTTTTGCCTTAACGCTAATTAACACACAATCGATAGTATCCCAAGGCTAGATCGTGTCCGGTTAATACACAGGACACAAAAACTTCGTCGCATTTTGCACTGTCGATGTTAAGCCTTGGAATTTAATCTGTCACCGAGTCATAAATCACCGGAAGGCATGCTGGTATATCACGACACTAGTTTTGATACAGAACACCACACCGACATAGATATGGTTATATTTGCAAAAAACATGTTAGCGTGAAGGAGTTGACTTAGAAATGAAAAATAAAAATGCATTGCGAATTCATTTAGAAATATAGGTTCTGACAAACAAACAAAATCGGGGCGAATCGGGAATCAAACCCACGATCATAGGTTTCTGAAGTACCCAAGGGAGGCAACTCTGCACATTGTTTTCTCAAACGACTGCTCCTTTTCCGCACGAGTGAGTGAGTTTTACGCCGCTTTTAGAAATATGCGAGGGACACCAGAAATGGGCTTCACACATTGTACCCATGTGGGGAATCGAACCCGGGTCTTCGGCGTGACGAGCGAACGCTTTAACCACTAGGCTACCCCACCGCCCCCTGTATGTCATTAGAGTGTTCTGAAAGTAGAACAGCGTTTACAGGTTTTATATGCCATGTAGATCTCAGCGTTTGGTTTTCTTCATAACCGACTTTCTCTGTCTCTCTCTCCGGGTTAATACATCAGTTTGTTTTATAGTGTAATATTGCTACATGTACATGTAAAAGGCCCATACATAAGCTATGCCTTAATCTGGGGTTATTCGCACAACGTTTACTCGTTGACCAATCTTATTCACTTATTATTGAGGTGCGTCAAGTTAATCCGCTGATAATCCCCGCTGATCCTATTGCCTTGTAAAATAGCCTCCGATGATTGACAGGCATCGCGTACATGTCAGTTTCAATGGCGTGAAGGAGAGTTTCTTCATTAATGTATTCTCATCAACATTTTCTCGAAATACCACACTGCCCACTGTGTTTCTTTGTATATTTATTAACGCCGCAATGAGCAATATTTCAGCTATATGGCGGTGATGTGTAAATAATCGATTTTGGACCAGGCAATCCAGTGATCAACATCATGCGCATTTGATCTACGCAATTGGGACACACAATGTGTCAACCGAGTCAGCGAGCCCGACCACCCCATCCTGTAAGTCGCCTCTTACGACAAGCATGGGTTTCTGAAGATCAATTCTAACCAGGATCTTCACGGGTGGCTGCCTGCTGCGGGCGAGGAGATCGGTGTTATGTGAATCTGTTAGCAACCCAAAGCGTCTTACTTCATATAACCTTTGACCACTTGCACAGACTGATCTTGACTGCTTACTTATATCCAGACTTTAACAGGGGCAGGATACGCTGACCCTTTCTTTCGGAAACCAGATTCCACAAGGCAATCCTAGCGCTGAGGTTATCCTAACTAACACACACAGACTTACGTCTGTCGTAGCCCTACGACCGCTTTGTGGTAGGTCGCCCTGGTATCATCACGGTTTGATCGTGAAAAATACCTGTTGGTTATGATACGGCCGCAATCGTACAAAGGTCTCTTTTGACAAAGACGTAATAGGACCAAGGAAACTGTTTATACCGGTTTTAATAGTCTGTCGTAAAGACCCCCTGAAACACAACAACCCAATGTAGCTCATGCAAGTCTAGAAGTCCAGATTCAGAAATGAAGAAAGTGTCTGGGCTCCTTTATATTACATTTTATTAACATAATTTAGAAACCTTGTTATCTGTACAATATGTTCATTTCAGAGACTAGATGTTAGTCTGCGGTTTCTATAAGGGCGGCATTTTAATTTCTTGTGTTTCTCATCGCCCGACCGACCCTACTAATTTTATTGCCGACAACCCCCCCCCCCCCCCCCCCAAGATTTTTTTCATTTCAACACCGCCGACTCGAACCTAAACGTACCGCCTCGTCATATAAAAAGTTTACCTATCTAAAATGTTTTACTCAGTCGCTGCCACAAGTCCAAAGAACGCAAGAAATTGTAATAAGATTAACAATAAATGAGAATCAAGGACATTATGCGGATAATTTTGTCTTTATTAATTTTTTTTTAGTTTTTTTTTCCCGACCGACCAACCAACCCATGTTCAGAATTTGTTGGCTACATGAAACACATATAAATAAAATGATGCCCTAACGATTGTCGTAGCACTAAATCGCCAGTGGGATAAGATGCTATCCGGATTTGACGACACAAATGTACTCGAAAAGTAGGACAATCCCTTTTCCTTTTTGTCGTGTCTTCAACAGCCCAGCCAGCGACATACACAATAACAGAAGAAAGTATGTATGTTACTCACCCTGCCAAATATGATAGGAACAGCGAAGACGAAGGAAAACACCCATACTAGCACGGCGACCAGTCGCGCATGCGTAATGGTGCAGACATACTTTGCTCTCAGGGGATACCGAATGGCGATGAAACTGAAATTAAAAAAAGAAAGATATGTTAGTGTGTTGAAAAGCACTCAGCTCGTAATGGAATATCAAGTGTTGAGAAATGCTACAACATCGTGGAAGCGTCTACGGTACGTTTGTAAAATAATTTGTAAGATAATCGTGTTTTCAGAAGACTACCGGGGTCTGAAATTACCTGTGCGGAAGGATCCCGGAAACTACTTACTAGAGTTGTAATTGCGATTTGTTTCCGTTATCTGACCGCACGCACAAACCTTAGAAGCCACACTGGAAGAGGTCATAAGAGAAAAGTACATATTTCACATTTGTATCATTGTACAAGTAACTTTCAAGGGTATGGTCGAGCGATCTGTGTTATAGTACGGGACTCTTGTTGTGGGGCCTGACATCAGGGCCTAGATTTTCGAAGCTCTCTTAGCGCTAAGATAGTCGTAAGTAAATGTTAATGTATGGCACTTACGACTATCTTAGCGCTAAGAGAGCTTCGAAAATCTAGTCCCTGGACCATATCTTGGAATACCATGTCGTGAGGTGTTGCACTTTGACCAAGTTTTGTAACATCCTCAGTGAGGTTTGAGGTTTGCACCTTGTCCATGTTTTGGAACACCCTGAGTGAGGTGTTGCACCTTGGCCATGTTTTGGAACATCTTCAGTGAGGTGTTGCACCTTGTCCATGTTTTGGAACACTATGCCGCGAGATTGTGCACCTTGACCAAATCTTGGAACACCCTTAGTGAGGTGTTGCTGTTAGAACCAGACCAGGAACACCTTGTAGTGAGGCGGTGCTCCCAGAAAAAAATCCAGAACCACCCTCTACTGTCCCCTGGGAGTGAGGTGTTGCACATGCAGTTTTCCTTGAATCAGCTTGACACTCTCCAATGACTCAGGGGCGTTGCTTCTTGTAATGTTAATCTCAAATTGATTGTATCCACTACATCTTTGGACTAAAAAAGTAAATCTGTTACTTAAATGGAACTCTTCATCAGGCATGTGTTTGACTATTAACACTTCGGGCATGTACTTCAGTAAGCAAACATAAATGTGTCAGGTTTACTAAAGAGAACAATGGGATAGTTCTATTTTCAACACTCTGTAATGTGTCGGTTGCTGCGAAGTGATGGATCAATGTTAAGGTGATGAAGTTGAACGATTTTAATTGTCTCAATTGGTTCCGCTTTTTAAAGTAATTGTTTGATAGAAAACTGAACTTTGGTGAAGACGATGCTTGTCTTTGATCGTCATTACGACCCATTAAACTAACACCTGAACTGACGTCTTCTTTGCATGAGGTGGTCATCAGCTGTTTGTTTGAGATAATGAAGCGACACGCCGGGTCTCCAGTGTGTTACGCATTACCGTTACATAACTCCAAAGGCCTGGGTCCCGATCCACACAACGTACGTAGCGCTACGACATTCGCAAGCCTATGATAAACTATTGAGTTACGACAGGCCGTAAAGTTACGAACGCTTTGTGAATCGGGACCCTGACTGGCAATTTCTGATAACATTCTTAAGTATGAACTGATAAAAATGTTAAATACTTCAACCAGAATCTCCTGTCAGGGTATCTCAGCCATTGGATGTTTTGACAATGGGTACCCGACAGTAATTCGGGAGCAACAAATATAATCATTTTGGTTTATACATTTTAGGCCTTTTCTGGAGTCCCCTGCCGTGATATTGCTTGAACACACATGTAGAAGGAACGAAACGGCTTGCAATATAACTCATTCGTTATTAATTACAGTCATCTGATTTACCAAAATTTAACATTTTGACTTGCGTGTGCGTGTTCTTGTGCGTGTGCGTGCGCGAGCACGTGCGCATGGTTGCATCGTTTTTCAGCAGTATCGCATCGAGTCAACTTAACGCGTGAGAAAGGTCCGAAGTATTGCACAGTTTGGTATGTTGCTGACAGACCTTGAAACATAACCAGACCAAATCGTGGATTCGAACCCACGCCCCCAGAGAAGTGCTTCTCCTTTGATGATTGGGCCATGTGACAAGCGACATACCAAAAATATTAACATATGAAACAACATCAGACATCGTCATTTAACCATTTCGTGCTTTCAAGAAAAGCAATGCAACCACCAATTGTTTCACTAATTATTTGCATTCTTTGAACGCTAAGGCAATACAAAACCTCAAACGTTTTGCAGTACTCACTGGGTTGATCAACCATATGAACAGGCGTGTTTGTCGATTTCAGAAGCCGACTCAAGGCTGATTCAAATTTGAACAAAACATCTATCAAATAACTCACAGACCTCCACTGCAAGTGCAGATCATGCAAGCGGTGTTTAGCGACAACTGGTGTTTTCAGTAAAGAATCAATGCAGGTTTGGCCTTTTCTGATAAAATAACTACAACGTTGTGGTTTTAGTGAAGTGCGTGTTGCCAAGTGATTAAAGTTGGATATTTAGATAATCTATTGTTTCTTTAAGCCCAAATATAAACTGTGTCACTGAGTTGAATGCCCTCGGCTCCATTAATTGCCATTTTAGCTACAGTACACAGGGGAACATTATACCTCAATGACATCGGCCGCAGTCCTTAGCGAAACTAATTTGACAATATGATAACAAAGCACTGTTTAAATGACACCTTTATTATAACATGGGTTCCCCTTTGGCCACCAATCATCTTCATAATAAATAGAAAAAGTCAAGAATACATCTTGAATCCTGACACATATAATCTTTAACTTTTTGGTGATAAAACGGAATAATGGAAAAGATATATCACTTAAATCACTATATTTTCTTTAACCCACACCCTTTCGATCTCATCACGAGCAAGCCATTGATAAGAAAATGGAAATTTCGTTAGAAAAAGGATAATTTTATCCCCCCCCCACCCCCAATTTCTTATAACAGAAGGGTCAGTGGAAATGTCTTTTTTAAAAGTATGAAGCAAAGCTGTTTTTTTCTCAAAACGTCCTAGCTACATACATCCCCAGCCATACCCTGCCATGCAATGTCCAAATATATACTGAGGGAAACAAATTAGGGAACACATGTAAGCACGAGCGTTCCTATATTCTTTTCCGTGTTTCTTCACATGCCTTGTATAGCACTGTGGGTGACAATCTGAAAATAAATTAAAGGGACACTGATGAAGTGGTGTTCCCTTATTTGTTTTCCTCAGTATATATTGGTATCCCCTCCGAGTTCCCACTTCTTGAAACATCAGATCTAGTGGTGTCAGGAACGAAAGTGGGTATTTCCAGCGATAATCGCACACTTTGTAACTGTACACACCCAGTTCCCCAAAGGGGGCGGTGGGGTAGCCTAGTGGTTCAAGCGTTCGCTCGTCACGCCGAAGACCCGAGTTCGATTCCCCACATGGGTACAATGTGTGAAGCCCATTTCTGGTGTCCCCCGCCGTGATATTGCTGGAATATTGCTAAAAGCGGCGTAAAACTAAACTCAGTCAGTCAGTCAGATAATAATGCCTCATGGGTACAATGTGTTAAGCCCATTTCTGGTGTTCCCAGCCGTGATATTGCTGGAATAATGCTCAAAGCGGTGTAAAACTAAACTCAGCCAGTCAGTCAGATAATAATGCCACATGGGTACAATGTGTTAAGTCCATTTCTGGTGCTGGAATATTGCTAAAAGCGGCGTTAAGCCATAGTCACTCACTCACTCAGTTCCCCAAAGAGATTACCAACCAGCGTCCGAGAACCACGGGGACCTCTCCATGCCCCACCCCAGGGCCTCCTTAAAGTGAGTGAATCTAACTTTACGCCGCACTCAGCAGTATTCCAGCTATATGGAAAATTGAGATACGTCCCAGGTACTAGATCGTTCACACAGCATCTTGCGTAGACTGACTCTTAGTCTCAGAAAGTTATCTTTTAAAAATATAAAAGTTATAGCTACAAACAACAACTAGAAACAAGAAGAAAAGGAGTCGATAACAATTATGAATTTAATTAGGAGGCAATTTAAACTTGACAACTCATTCTAGACATGAGTTTGATTACCTTCTTACCATATTTTCTTAGGAATTCAGAATACACGCGCTGAACGTATCTCTATTTGAGTGAGTGAGTGTCTGTTTGAGTGAGTGAGTGAGTGAGTATGGTTTTACGCCGCTTTTTGCAATAGCCCAACAATATTACGGCGGGGGACAACAGAAGTGGGCTTCATACACCCTCCCCCCTCCAACACGCCCGCACGCCCGCACGCCCGCACGCACGCACGCGGAAATCAAACGTGACGAGAGGACACTTTAGTCATTAGGCTAACTACCACCCTTATCTCTGTTTTAAAGGCGATGAGTACATTCACACTTAGTCTATGATAACATATGATTTTGATAGAAAATAACAATTCCATTTAAATTGAAAGGAGCCCCAGTGAGATGGGAGATTCCGACGCGGGACAAATCTAGACTTAGTTAGGGCTTCATTTCGATTTGCAGAAAGAGCTAAACGGAAGAGAAAATGATGCAGTTCATGGCCTGTGACACAGGCTAGGTAGTGAGGGACTTCACGGTGAGTGAGCGGGTGACAGTGACAATACATAGACGAAAAGTCGCACATTGGTGTAATCAACTAGGAACCGGTCGTACCCAGTGTGTGGATTTTCTGAAGCTTTTGGGTAATTAAAAGCTTTCGGGGACCTCTTCTGGGGCAATTACACGGGAGGATTTCTCGCACGTATTTACCCATTTCTGCTATGGTAGCCTGGTACGTGACGGAAATTCCGCAAACCAAACGCGGAAATTCAGCAATCGTATTGCGGAAATTCCACAAATGTACCTAGGAAATTCCACAACTATATTGCGGATATTCCGCAATCGAAGTGCAGAAACTCCACAGACGTAATGCGGAAATTTCCACAAAGGTACCTAGGAAAGTCCACAACTATATTGCGGATATTCCGCAATCGAAGTGCAGAAACTCCACAGACGTATTGCAGAAATTTCACAAACGTATTGCGGAATTCGAGAAATGTTCCGCGGAATGTTCACACTCGTATAATGTCTATTTTG